TACTAGGTACGACATATATATATATATATATATATATATATATCGTACCTAGTAGCCAGAACGCACTTCTCAGCCTACTATGCATGACCCGATTTGCCTAATAAGCCAAGTTTTCATGAATAAATTGTTTCGACTACCTAACCTACCTAACCTGTCCTAACTTTTTCTACTACTAACCTAACCTAACCTATAAAGATAGGTTAGGTTAGGTTAGGTAGGGTTGGTTAGGTTCGGTCATATATCTTCATTCATTTAACTCCAATAAAAAAAATTGACCTCATATATAATGAAATGGGTAGCTTTATCATTTCATAAGAAAAAAAATTACAGAAAATATATTAATTTATGAAAACTTGGCTTATTAGGCAAATCGGGCCTTGCATAGTAGGCTGAGAATTGCGTTCTGGCTACTAGGTACGACATATATATATATATATATATATATATATATATATATATATATATATATATATATATATATATATATATATATATATATATATATATATATATTAGTATATTTGGTAGCAGTCTTTCCTGTAGACATATTTTATTAAATATGACCGAAAAAGTAAGATTAATAATTCTAACACGAATTTTCTCAATCTTTCGTACATTATGCTTCACTGTTGGAGGTAAATCAAAAATCACTTCTCCAAAATTCATTTTTATTTCTAGTCTGACGCGACACGGGCGCGTTTCGTAAAACTTATTACATTTTCAAAGACTTCACAAATACACAACTGATTAGAACTTGCGTTTCCCTGATTTTATATCTACATTTGAGTGAGGTGGGAAGGGTGATGTGGCATACATTTGAGTAAGGTCATCCTTCCCACCTTACTCAAATGTAATGCCACATCACCCTTCCCACCTCACTCAAATGTAGATATAAAATCAGGGAAACGCAAGTTCTAATCAGTTGTGTATTTGTGAAGTCTTTGAAAATGTAATAAGTTTTACGAAACGCGCCCGTGTCGCGTCAGACTAGAAATAAAAATGAATTTTGGAGAAGTGATTTTTGATTTACCTCCAACAGTGAAGCATAATGTACGAAAGATTGAGAAAATTCGTGTTAGAATTATTAATCTTACTTTTTCGGTCATATTTAATAAATATATATATATATATATATATATATATATATATATATATTATATATATATATATATATATATATATATATATATATATATATATATATATATATATATATATATATATAATATATATATGTCGTACCTAATAGCCAGAACGCACTTCTCGGCCTACTGTCCAAGGCCCGATTTGCCTAATAAGCCAAGTTTTCCTGAATTAATATATTTTCTCTAACTTTTTTCTTATGAAATGATAAAGCTACCCATACATTACGAATGAGGTCAATTTTTTTTTATTGGAGTTAAAATTAACGTAGATATATGACCGAACCTAACCAACCCTACCTAACCTAACCTAACCTATCTTTATAGGTTAGGTTAGGTTAGGTAGCCGAAAATGTTAGGTTAGGTTAGGTTAGGTAGGTTAGGTAGACGAAAAACAATTAATTCATGAAAACTTGGCTTATTAGGCAAATCGGGCCTTGAATAGTAGGCATAGAAGTGAGTTCTGGCTACTAGGTACGACATATATATATATATATATATAATATATATATATATATATATATATATTATATATATATATATATATATATATATATATATATATATATATATATATATATATAATATATATATATATATAATATATGGAGAGAGGGAGATAGAGATGATGATTTTAATTGTGTTGGGGGGGGGGGGTTGTGTCAGGCAGCCTGTGTTTGTATGTTCTGTTATGTTAGGCTGGTATCAAGGTGCATGTCTGACTATGTACTTCTTAAAGTCAAACTACTGACTCTCCCCTGGCCAGCACTTGACTTGAATGACACTTGACTTGACCTGACACTTGACTAATTTTTAGGTACCTATGTATTGCTAGGTTAACAGAGGCATTAGGTAATAGGAAACATTCCCAAACATTTCTGTCCTATCAGAGATTCCTGATTGCGAGTCAAGAACAAACCCTAGTGTACTACCAAGATCCTATAAACATGGAAAATATTAGAGGGACTGGCTTCAAATCAACACATGGAAATAATTTCTTAAGAGACTAGAAAGCTTAACAAAATGTACAAAATAGCCCCTTTCAAAGTAGAGATTCATTAAGCATGCCAAGAGAAAATTATGTAAATAGTAGAAACCCAAGACCTTTTCAAAAGAATCTTGTTGACCAGATTGCCAAGAGGAGGCTTGGCCAGAGACTTGGCTATGGTTACATTGATCCTTGGAACCACATCATGAAAACATGGTAACCTGCTTGATACCTGCTTGATGGGGTTCTGAGAGTTCTTTTACTCCCCAAGCCCGGCCCGAGGCCAGGCATGACGTGAGAGTTTGATTCACTAGGCTGTTGCTTGGAGCTGCCCGCAGGCCCACATAACCACCACAGCCCGGTTGGTCCGGCACTCCTTGGAGAAAACGATCTATTTTTCTCTTGAAGATGTCCACAGTTGTTCCCGCAATATTTCTTATGTTGGAAGGATGTTGAACAACCGCGGACCTCTGATGTTTTTACAGTGTTCTCTGATTATGCCTATGGCACCCCTGCTCTTCACTGGTTCTATTCTGCATTTTCTTCCATATCATTCACTCCAGTACGTTGTTATTTTACCTTGTAGATTTGGGACCTGGCCCTCCAGTATTTTCCATGTGTATATTATTTGGTATCTCTCTCGTCTCCTTTCTAGTGAGTACATTTGGAGAGCTTTGAGATGATCCCAATAATTTAGGTGCTTTATTGTGTCTATGTATTCCGTATATGTTCTCTTTATTCCCTTTATTTCAGCATCTCAACCCAAAACACAAACTGATTATTTTGTCAAAAATTATGGTTGTGCCATGTGAACTCAAATTCACTTTTGAGTTCATGCTACATGGAGGTCTACTGTACATTAATGGTTTTATCATATAGAAATATATACAGTATGTATTTACCTATGAAATTATATTGGGTAAGTAATACTGGATTCACAATCTACTCTTAAAATCCAAAAATATAACATCCAGGGTTGTTGGATTATCAGCAAATACATTGCTGACTACAATGTAGTCAGCAATGTATTTGCTGAAATAATGTATTTAATTTTTATATCATCACTTTTTAAGATATTTATACGTGCTAAACTTTTTTTGAGCATGTGTGGGCATTGTATTGTTTTTTATTTTTTCAGCGCAATGGTCCCCGCGGCATTCTCTCTGGAGGAATCATTATCACAGTAGATGGCACAAATTTTGATGTTATTAGAGAACCCCAAATGTATGTTGAGGACGGCAATAAACAATTCAACAGTGTAAGTACAAAAATTACACTTTTCGAACTACAGATATTGTTTTGTACATATGTATATGTATTTGCAGTGATTTAAAATTATAATTGGTTAAACAAATATTACTGTGACATTGTGCCTAAATTCTAAATGATCAAATACTAAATGTGTAAGAGTGACTTGTGTTCCAAATTATAATTTTCCCTCTATCCTGTTAACATTTACAGTCGTGCGAAGTCAAAAACTCAACAAGGATGGAATGCAAGTCTCCCGCTATATCGCTTGGAGGAGGCGAACAGATAGACCATGAAAATGGGAAGAAGCTGAACTATGGCTTCATAATGGATAATGTTAAATCTGTTAGATTCCTGAACAAAGAAGAATCAAAAAACTCAAAAGATTCAAAGAAACCAACATTTTCACCTTTTCTTGTTTATCCTGATCCTGTTTACTTCGAATTTGAAGATACTGATCATGTTAGTGTCTAAAACTGTGTGAATTAATAAAATATTTATCACAGATGTGTATAAGAATTTTCAATTTATATACGTGCAAATGAATTCTAATCTGAAATCAGCATTATAGTTTTTATTTTTTTTATGTAATCATTTTATAATTTCAGGTTAAACAGTACAAGTCAGATTACCTTACAATCAATGGTAAGAATCTGGATCGAGCATCCCAGGAGATAGATGTAGAGGTTCTCATTGGTTCTGAATCTTGCAATGTGACTTCACTTTCACGATCACAACTAACATGTCGACCCCCAAAAGAACAACCTGAACCACTAAATAAGGATAACTTCCCACAAGTTGTGGTAAGTGCAATTCATTTTTTTTCTCTGAGCTTTTCCATAAGAAATTTTCATACACAGTAATAAAGCTATTCATTTCTGTGAGGTATCATTGTTAATTCTAAAAGTTTTCTTTTTTTTCAGGTTATTGTTGGTAGTAATCTCCGATACGAAATAGGGTACTTGAAGTATGCCGGCACCACGGATGTTGGGACGTTGTCCAAGCAGCTGATCATTGGGCTGTCTGTTGGTGCAGTGGTCTTAATTTTCATTCTGGTTGTCTGTCTCATAGTTTACCGGCAGAAAAGTAACCAGAACTCCCGGGTCCTTAAGAGTATGCAGGAGCAGATGGATGTTCTTGAACTTAGAGTTGCAGCTGAATGCAAAGAAGGTATGTGCTTTAGAATGATTTTCTTCATGAAATAATTTGACATTTCTTACATTATCAGAAGGGTTAAGGTTATTTCTGACTTGCCCAGTTTCATACTTTGACTAATGCCATCTGATTGCCGTGCAACAAAAAAATTAAACCAAATTACTGTAATATCCTTATAGTAAATAAACACTAAACCCACACTTCATTAAAGGGAAAGTGATGATTTTCAGTTGATCTACTTTTTCAATAACCTAATGTTTATTAGAGTTTAATAATGCTTAGTGTTTTCTGGGGGGTAGCCCTGTCGGCTTCCCGAAGTTATTCAGGCTGATATGTATCTGTTAGCTTTCTGGCATCAGTCAAAGTTCATGGAGTTTTTGACTACCACGGACTACGAGCCAGAATCTGGCCCCCCTCAGAGAGGCACAAGGTCAATTTTTGGTCAATAGAAACCCCATGTGGTTGGAAGCATTCTATGTCTGCCATCGACCGGGTCAGGCACCCAGAAAGATAGGCGCCCTAAAACAAACCCCTATTCTGGTGAAAACATTGCTACCAAAAGCCGAACGAGTGGACAGAACTCCCCAAACAAAAATTAGCAAACGAGCATGACGTCATCATGTTGCCACACCACTGTCTGCGCACCCCACCCTCCAGGAGGGGAAAGGGGGAGCCCCAAACCCGATGGTCTTCCTGCGGCTCCACCTCTTTCAGCAGATCGGTCCAGCCCGGTACGAGGCTGGTTTGTTCTTCTCCTTGAGTCTTCGCATCTGGAGTTTCTGACTAGAGTCTATCATCATTTGTATGGGTCGCATATGGCTTCGTTGTTGGTCTACCACCTGCATGCTTCGTCTCGGCAGCAGTATGAAGTTTTCTGGCAGTCCTTCTAGTTTTTTCTATCACTGCGTAGGTATACTTCGATCTCTGATAAGGTTGTCTTGTCCTTCCTTTTGTGGTTATTCCAGGACCGTCAACTTATTCCGAATACTGTCGCCTCATATCGTGCAGTGCTGGCGGAGCCGCTTCAGTTTGCATTCGGTGTTGATGTTACTTCTGCCATGTTCCACACGCTGTCTCGTGCGTCGTTCCACCTCTGGCCTGCTCATGGACCTCTTGAACCGTTCTACTCTTTGGACCTGGTGCTCTCTTTTCTCTCTTCTCCTTCGTTTGTAGTGGCCCCTTCAGTTTGGGATTGTTTTTCTAAGGTGCTCTTTCCATTGGCATTGGCCTTTGGGGGTCGGGTCGGGAAGCTTCATGCTCTCCTCTGGCACATGGGCTTCTGCTCCTTCGGTCCTGATGGGCTGTTTCTTTGGTTGCAGCCGTCTCCTTCTATTCTGGCTAAGAATGAGACTGCTGCTCTCCAGAGGGGTCCTTGGGTTGTTGATGCTTGGTTCGTCAGGCTGGGGATGCATCATGTGTTGTGTCCGGTTGTGGCACTCCACTGTCATTTGCGTGCCACAGCTTTGGTGGCCTGGGATGCTCTTTGGGTTGATCCTGTTTCCCTCCTTCCCTGTTCCTGGGCACGGGTCTCCTAAGTTCTCTGCAGGGTTATTAAATCTAGCCAGCCTGCAGTCTATCATCATGCCCACAACATACCTAAGTTTGCTGCTTTGGCTGCCGTCTTTGGCAACATGTCTTAGGTCAACATTCAGGCATGGGGTTTTTGGAGGTCGAAGACGGTCCTGGCCACTCGCTACTGTGTCCGGGTCCCTGGACCTGGTAGGGCCTGCGTTGCATTGGGTCGGCGGTTGCAGCCAGTTGTCTTGACTTCGCATTGAAGAGTGAGGACTGACTGCCTCTTGGGTATGTCCCTGTGTTTCTCTTGTCGTTGGGTAGTTCGCTCCAAGGAGCCGACGGGGCTCCCCCCAGAAAACCAGCGTTGAACGCAATAAAACTCCATTTTCTGGTTGAGACCCGCAGGCTCCCTGGCATCCTCCCTTCCTCCAGTTGGCGGTGTTTTTGCATGTTTTTGACATCCAGCCTAAGAACTGTTCCCTCCCAGGGAGGGGACGGTTGCTCAGACAGTGGCACGGCAATATGATGTCATACTCGTTCATTAATTTTCGTTTGGGGAGTTCTATCCACTCATTCAGCTTTCGGTAGCAATATTTTCTCTAGAATAGGGGTTTGTTTTGAGGCACCTATTTTTCTGGGTGCCAGACCCAATCGATTGCAGACATAAAATACTCCCAATCACATGGGGGGTTTCTATTGGCCATTGCTCCTGGTGCCTCTCTGAGGGGGCTAGGTTCTGGCTCGTGGTCCCCAGTAGGCAAGAACTCCATTCAGTTTGATGCCAGAAAGCTAATAGATACACATCAGCCTGGATAGCTCCAGAGAGCCTCCATGTCTCACCCAGAAAATGGCGTTTCATTACATTCAACGCTGATTTATTTATTTCAGTCACATTGTTGTGACTTCATCTGTTTAGTCATTTATGGAGGCTTTACAAAATGTGGAGTTGTGTACATTTACCATTACATCCAAGAAATTAGCTTCCTAATATAGAAGAAGATAATTGAAGACTGTATCTTCATATAGAATAATGTATTGTAATGGATTGGTGCTTTCTCCTGGTAGTGCCCTTCCCTTCTAAATATAGATATAAGATAGTTGATTGTTTGATTAACTTTGTCTATAGTGATTCCATAACTGAATTGTTTTAGTATGTAACTTGCATAATTGTAAATTTTTAGCATTTGCGGAGCTCCAGACGGAAATGACAGACTTAACAAGTGATCTGATTGGGGGTGGCATACCATTCCTGGAGTACCGCACATACGCCATGAAGATCCTCTTCCCCAACCTGGAGGAGACCACCGTGCTGCAGATGGACCGGCCAGATCTGGTGCGCAAGGAAAAGGGCCTCAAGCTCTTTGGCCAACTAATTATGAACAAAACTTTCTTATTACTGTTCATTCGCACACTAGAATCGAATAGATATTTCTCCATGAGAGACAGGTGGGTTGCCTTAAGTATCTGAAGAAATTTCAGACTTCTGTAATTTTGATTTTATCTTGCAAAAAATAAAGCTACAAAAGCTACATTTTCCATCTTCTCTAGTAATAGAGATACATCATACTTATTTATGAATATCATAAACTCCTTGTATGCTAAAAAAAAAAATCATGTATACATTTTAAAAAAAATATTGTTTTCCCCATAGAGTTAATGTTGCTGCTCTTATTATGGTGGCATTACAAGGTAAAATGGAATATTGTTCAGATATTCTGAAGACACTTTTGGCTGAACTTATAGAAAAATGTATTGAAGGAAAGATACACCCTAAACTTCTCTTTAGAAGGTAGGTAAAGTAACTACAGTACAATAATTTTATACAAGTTTTCTTTTTGTATGTTTAAATTTTGGATTAAATATCAACATAATGATGTTTTACTTCCCCATATAAATATTGAGTACAGTATGTGTTTTAAAATCTTTTATTTCCCATAAAAATAGAGAATGTGTTTTAAAATGATTTATTTCCTCAGAACGGAGAGTGTAGCCGAGAAAATGTTATCGTCGTGGTTCACGTTCCTGCTATACAAGTTCTTGAAAGAATGTGCAGGAGAACCACTCTACATGTTGTTCCGTGCCATCAAGCAGCAAGTGGACAAAGGTCCTGTGGATGCCGTCACCTCAGAAGCCAGATATTCCTTATCAGAAGAAAAACTTATTCGCCAGAGTATTGATTTTAAGGAAATGGTGAGTAAAAAATTTTTGTATTTGTTTAGATTGCACATTTTAATTTGTTATATTTGTCATTATTGTAGTTGTAGTAAAGAATTTTCTTGTCATATTTTTTGACTGAATGTTGTTACCTTACCATATATAATTGCACTTGCAGACTGTATATGTATCCATGTGCAACTTGTATGTGGGTGCGGTCGACGGACCTATGGAGAGTGGGGAGACCCCAGTTAAGGTCCTGGATTGTGACACAATCTCTCAGGTTAAAGAAAAATCCCTTGATGCCATATATCGGTCTTACCCATACTCTCAGCGACCTAGAAGGGAAGATCTAGACCTTGAGTGGCGCACAGGCACCTCAGGTAATTAATCAATATTAATTATGCATGAATTCAGCTGCATAATACTTCTGGAAATATGTTAATTAATATGGTAATATGTCCTCAATAATTTGAGGAAATACTTGCATAAAACTATATGAATAATTTTGAATATAGGCTTTATTTTACTATTACTCATTAACTTCCTTGTGCAAAATTGAACACAAAGGTATTAAACCTATATTATAAAGTAACAAGAAAATGTTTCAGGCCGCCTCATCCTGTACGATGAAGACACCACAACTCGGCCTGAGGGAGGCTGGAAGAAGCTGAACACTCTAGCTCACTACAATGTTCCAGATATGGCCCAATTAACCCTTATACCTAAACAATCTTCAATATATAATTACATGTCAATTCTTTCTGATAAGTCAGATAAATCACATCACAAGTATGAAACATTAAATATGAACAAATACACCTCTGCCAGTCCGCCCCTCTCGCGAGCCACATCGCCCCTTAACCACGATAATGAAGCGGGGGTTAAGGTAGGAGCAAAGGTCTGTTTCACCACAAGGCAGGTTAGAGCCAAATATTTTTGTTCTGTTTTGAGTGTTATTTTCTTTTGTATGATCATGCTTGCTCCTTTTGATAATGCTTAACAATTGTTCTTAATACGTTTTATGGTATGTAATGTGTGGATGTGGTGGTTGTTAGAATTTGAGCTTGAATAATTATGTATTATACTAACAGGAAGACATTAAAATCAGATGGGTTCAGTCTTGAACTGCTTGAGAGGAAGTTACAGTACAACTTACATATATTCCATCTTTTCCAACTACCATCAACAAATGTGAACGAAACATGCACCCATTTACTTACTTTCGCCCACATTCTCATCATTATCAATTTTCCCTTGGCCCCATTGTACACACACTAAGAACGTTACACCTCTCAGAGTAAAGTTAACAATTATCCAGCATATCATTTCTTTATTTTGTTGAGTTACCTTGAAGAGGGAATTAGTCATTCATTACACTGCTTATTGAATTTGTCCATTTTAGGAAATTAAGTTAAAAATTGTGGAGTGTGTAAATTGGCAAAATTAGAGCATCAGTATTAAAACTGTTGAATATGACATTCCTAGAAATGCACCACAAGGATTATTTGGAATAATAAGACACTTGCTTGAGGAAAAACAAGCAAAGGACAATTTTTTGTCTATAAACAATCCTCGCTTCCACAGACGTCCTAATGTTATCGACTGGATCAAATCATTCTGCAATCAGATTGCCGTACATATAATTCTATTAATTCCTGACAATTGACACTAGATTAATTCCCTCCACTCGTTGTGGCAGGTCTTCCACTCCCTCCACTCGTTGTGGCAGGTCCTCCACTCCCTCCACTCATTATGGCAGGTCCTCCACTCCCTCCACTCATTGTGGGAGGTCCTCCACTCCCTCCACTCGTTGTGGCAGGTCCTCCACTCCCTCCATTCGTTGCGGCAGGTCCTCCACTCGTTGTGGCAGGTCTTCCACTCCCTTCACTCGTTGTGGCAGGTCCTTCACTCCCTCCACTCGGTGTGGCAGGTCCTCCACTCCCTCCACTCGTTGTGGCAGGTCTTCCACTCCCTTCACTCGTTATGGCAGGTCCTCCACACCCTTCACTCGTTGTGGCAGGTCCTCCACACCCTTCACTCGTTGTGGCAGGTCCTTCACTCCCTCCACTCGTTGTGGCAGGTCCTTCACTCCCTCCACGCGGTGTGGCAGGTCCTCCACTCCCTTCACTCGTTATGGCAGGTCCTCCACACCCTCCACTAGTTGTGGCAGGTCCTCCACTCCCTCCACTCGTTGTGGCAGGTCCTCCACTCCCTTCACTCGTTATGGCAGGTCCTCCACACCCTCCACTAGTTGTGGCAGGTCCTCCACACCCTCCACTAGTTATGGCAGGTCCTCCACACCCTCCACTAGTTGTGGCAGGTCCTCCACACCCTCCACTAGTTGTGGCAGGTCCTCCACACCCTCCACTCGTTATGGCAGGTCCTCCACACCCTCCACTAGTTGTGGCAGGTCCTCCACACCCTCCACTAGTTGTGGCAGGTCCTCCACACCCTCCACTCGTTATGGCAGGTCCTCCACACCCTCCACTAGTTGTGGCAGGTCCTCCACACCCTCCACTCGTTGTGGCAGGTCATTCACTCCCTCCACTCGTTGTGGCAGGTCCTCCACTCCCTCCACTCATTGTGGCAGGTCCTTCACTCCCTCCACTCGTTGTGGCAGGTCCTTCACTCCCTCCACTCGTTGTGGCAGGTCCTCCACTCCCTCCACTCGTTGTGGCAGGTCCTCCACTCCCTCCACTCGTTGTGGCAGGTCCTCCACTCCCTCCACTCGTTGTGGCAGGTCCTCCACTCCCTCCACTCGTTGTGGCAGGTCCTCCACTCCCTCCACTCGTTGTGGCAGGTCCTCCACTCCCTCCACTCGTTGTGGCAGGTCCTCCACTCCCTCCACTCGTTGTGGCAGGTCCTCCACTCCCTCCACTCGTTGTGGCAGGTCCTTCACTCCCTCCACTCGTTGTGGCAGGTCCTTCACTCCCTCCACCCTCCATTAAATATATGAACAGGCATTACATGATGATGATGATAAATTATAAACACTATTTCCCTGTTTCGTGCAAGTAGCATCCATTGTTCTAGTAGGGGGCATTCATGTCCATTGTGAATGTTGACTCAATGTGGTTCTTGATGGTTTATTCAATGAGAAGCTTATGACAATAATTTTGCAATCAGTTTTTTCTTCCCAATTATGAAACTAATGAGGAGTAAATAGGGTAAGAGTAATTTCTTGTACTTCTTCATCTTTAAAGTTTTAAATTTTAGTTTTTCTTCTATGAGAAAGCTCAAATTGCACTTGTTTGTTTGTGATGTACTATAGTATACATTTTTTTGTTGGTTACGTTTTGCAACTATTTCAGCTTACAGCATGTCTTACATATGCATAGAAAATATATTTCATTATTTATGATTTGAAAGCTCTTCATTTTATAATTTATTTTAATTTAACTTTTTATTATTTTGTATTGGTACCTAACCTGCACTTGTGAAATATTATATAAAATAACCATATGGGCATTAAAGTTCAGGCAAATGCACTAGAAGCTAAATTAAAATGGTGCAGGATATAATACTTGGAAAGGTACATCACAATATGTGATAATTAATGATAGGAGGGAGGTGTTTAATGCAGGATGTATAGAACTGATCACTCAATCATGAAGGCATAGTCACGTCTTAACCCAGGGGTAGCCATCACCCTCCCCACTCAAAGGGATACTTAACCATGAATTAATTAATCTCTCTCTGTCTCCTTGTCTCATCTTTTTCTTATCTTTTCTCATTTCATTCTCTCTGGTTTTAAAATGTTCTTAACAATAAAAACTGCTGTTCTCTTTGGAATTTCATAGAATCTTTTGCTTTACTAATGGTATGCATATTAAAAAAAATTCAAAGTTCAGTATTTAGTAAGATTTCTGTACAATTGAATGCTTGTTAATAGATTGTTATTGATAGATGTTGTCATAACTATTGTTTTTCTGTACTTTGAACTTATCCATGAAACTCACAATAAATGTCAAGAAATAATTTTTGCTGCCGAATATAATAAAACATTAAAGGAAGTGTTTCACAATGTTGAAGTTTGTGTTTCTGTTCAGGTGTGGCACTTGGTTCGCCAACAAGAATCGGAGCAGCGTGAAGGAGAGCGCACAAATAAAATGGTGTCCGAGATCTACCTCACACGCCTGCTCTCCACAAAGCTCACACTACAAAAGTTCGTTGATGATCTCTTCGAGACTATATTTAGCACTGCACATCGTGGCTCTGCTCTACCCCTAGCGATCAAGTATATGTTTGACTTTCTTGATGACCAGGCATTACAGCATGGCATCACAGACCCAGAGGTGAGGCACTAGCCATATGCTGTCATATTGGCACATTAACATATAAAATAAATATATATATATAATATTCCTATTTTGACAATTTCAATATGCTGCCATGTTTATCATTTCTAAATGATTATATCTATGCTGTCAGTTGGCTTATAATGAGTTTCATAGTAATACTTGCAGTAATGTAAAATTACCTTAAAATAAGTGTTTAATGGTCCACTCTCTTTTCAGGTGGTCCATACTTGGAAGAGCAATAGTCTGCCTCTCAGGTTCTGGGTTAACCTCATAAAGAATCCCAACTTCGTTTTTGACATTCACAAGTCCAATATTGTGGATGCATGTTTATCTGTAGTAGCTCAGACATTCATGGATTCCTGCTCTACATCTGATCATAGATTAGGTATGTTGGTATAATATTAAAGTTCTGTGTATGAAGGAATACTGTATATGCTGACATGCACCGTATTTATTTTCCATATACGTCACTCATACAGATTTTTATCAATACAGCACCACTGATTATGATGTCTTTGTTTTTCAGGTAAAGATTCTCCAAGTTCCAAATTGCTATATGCCAAAGACATCCCCATCTACAAGGAATGGGTAGAGCGGTACTATGCTGATATTAAGATCATGCAACCCATCTCTGATCAAGACATGAATGCGATGCTAGCCGAAGAGTCCCGGGTAAGTCCAGTAAGTAAATATAGGGCTCAGGAATCCCACACGCATCACTGTTCTAGTACTTAAGTATTACATTTTTCAACTTAACCAGGGCTATGAAGGGATTAAATTGCGTTCACTCAGTGCTTGCAATTGACTTGCTTCTCTTGCATTCTTTGTAATAAGTACAGGGCAAGGTCTAGTTCAATAAAATTCATGCTTGTGCCTCAAATTTCTAGTTAAATTTGCTTTGCATATAATATTTAATTATTGGTTTTTGTTAAAGCCATGAAAGCAATAACCATCATGCCTTGGTTTTGACATTTTTATTATAAGAACATTGATCATAACAATATGTAACTACTTTCAAATGGCTGACATGGTGTGGCTATAGGCGTCTGTGCCTGAAGTTCCAGGTTAACTGTGTGAAGGTTAATGGTACTTTTTATGCACCATGTGATGATACAAGTAAGAATGAAAAAATACATATATTGTAACATTGTAATTTAAAGAGATAGGTTTATATAAAGGAGCTATGGAGCAATTGTGATGGATGAGTTGAATGGATGAGAGGTATTTTTTGTTTTATTATTTAATATATCTAATCTTCTTTTACTATATTACTTGCACTGTTTTCTTTGGGCTGATGCCTCCCCACCCCATGAAAGGAAGGAACAGGGTAACAATACTTTGTATACTATGTATGATTTAATTGGAATAGTGGTAATGAAACCAGAAAAACTAATTAATACCTTTGTTTAGTGTTATGGACGTTTAGAATATGATGAATGTCATTTGACTGAAAGATTTGTCCAATACTGTACAGTATAAGGATGTTATATAGCATCAACAGCTATTTGAAGCACAAGGATATACTGTACATAGTGGTGATGATGATATTAAGTTTCTAACAATTCTGATACCAATGCCGATTTTTTTTTTATAATGAAGAATTAGAGAAGCAAGGTTAGCCTTGGATCTGGGATTTGTACTGGCACAAGTTCTTAGGAGACAAGTGCAAGTTAATGTTTTTAAAGGTGTTTAATTTTAAAGGAATTAGTGAGAAAACAGAAAGTGATAAATATTTTGAAGGCGAGCAGGTTTAATGTGCTAGTTTTATGCAAGACAACACTGAAATTGATAATGAAGAAACAGAATAGAGTAAATATTATAAGAAAAGGAGTGAGAAGATAAAGGGATTAAAGAAAGAATGTGCCTGTTAATGAATGATTGGTAAAGGTGAAATATGTTAGTTTTGCTAGTGTGAGAAGAGTGCTAGGTAGATATCAGAAGATATATTCACTGCAGAGTTGGGTGCAGATGCTAAAATTTGGGAACCTGGAAGTGTGAGAGATTTATGTAGAAATTTTTGAATTCAGTTAAGTGAAGGAAATGGAAAGAGTGGATGATCTTATGGTATTACTGTATAAACATAAGTATGAGTATGGCAGTTAAAAATAATAGTATGTTTAATGTGTTAAATCTAATGGGGAAAATATACATATGATGTACTGTATTGTGATTGAACGAGTACAGAAAATAGGCGATTCTGATGAACACGGCGGATTCTTGAGTTGAGGTAGGTGTGCATCATATTTGCAATGAAAAAAGTAGTGGAAAAGGGTGTGTGAGAAAGTTGTAAGGTCTTCATTGCCTTCATTCATGTGAGAAAAGTGTGCAATAAAATATACCAGGTGGACTAGAGGGTTGTGACCATTAATTGAGTTGATGAGCCAATGTCAAATGCAATGAAGACTTTTTTATGAAGAAAACAGAACATGTGTAAGACTCAGTGGTGGAATAAGTTACTGGTCTTGTATGTATACCAGGGTTGTGTAGTGGCCACATAGATGTTTATTATTTAAGTGCATTGGGCCATGTGGGAGGTCAGAGTAAGTATAAGAGAACTATAAGAAGTAAGTACATGATACAAATATCAGTAAATAAAGCTTAAAATGTGATGCATACAGATGTAGTTCTTTGAAAGAGAATGTGAGAAATGGTTAAAGTTTAGATTTTTGCGAGAAGATAAATGCTAAAAGTGAATGTAAATGTTGTACTGTAACCAATATAATTATGGTGGAGAGAGAAGGAAACTAAAACAAGGGTGAATGGAGTGTGCTGGAACCTCTAAAGTTTTATTACTGGAGATAAGTATCTGCCACAGGAGGAAGTTGTGAAAGCAAAGTTGAGTGTAAAACAAATGGGGTAAAAGAAGTAACGGGTACATTGAAAATCCTGGTTGGAAAGAATAAGATAGGAAGGTATGCAGCCAGAGGGCTGTGGTAACCCTTGTGTATAAATGCAAAGTGATTGGGTGGCATGAACATAACAAATTGAGTTGGAGAAGCAAGAGATGGACAGTCATATTGGTATGTTTCATTACACAGAGAAATCACATTAGCATGATATATCAATGAATAAATCCACAGAAGCCTTGACGAAGGTTCGAACCTATGAGCTGTGTGTTCCCAGGCGTGACTTTGTTTGACCATGGCGTGGTGCAGTCAACTGGAGCGCGCGCCTGGGAACACCCAAGCGTAGGTTCGAACCCTCATCACGGCTCCTGTGGATTTGTTCATTGGTGTGTTTCTTAGGGAAGTAGTTAGAATAAAGAATGAAAATGCCATCGAAAGATGAAGTGAAATAATTGATAAAAAGCCTAGATTAAGGTGAGTGCGCATTAATGGTATGGTAATGTTGAAGAAATGGATGATTTGAGTGGTGTTGAGTGTATTTTGGGAATAATATGTAGTAAAACTTAAAAGAAGTGATGCAGCATGGCGAGCTAATGTGTGTATATTCGAGTGAGTACAAGAGATGTAATGGTAAACAGTGTTCGGTGGAAGTAGTAGATTATTAACATTTTGTTGACAGTACATCATTAGGAGCATTACACCTAGTCCATGAAGTGGTTGTGGTCCTTCTGTGGAGGATTTGTTTGAGTGTAATTATGGGTACTATCTGTGATGCTGCTGTTGCAGATATTAGTGTGATTGGACATGTCACCAAATAATTGTTAATATCTCTAACGCCCCCTCTATTCCTATGTTATCATATCTGAACAGATGCTTTTTATCCTAATGATGGGAGATAATGATAACACATCACTGATGAAAACATGGAAACTGAATACACACAGAAATCACAATTGCGTGATACATCAAATGAACAAATCCACAAGGGCCGTGATGAGGGTTCGAACCTACGTCCAGAATGATCCTAGATGCACCTTAATCGATTGCGCCACGATATGATCAAAAGAATTGCAACCGGGAGTGCTACTGCCCTCACATGGATCCTGCAGCCTCTTCCCCGGTTTGTGTCACGAGAGGCTGCAGGATCCGTATAAGGGCAGTAGCACTCCCGGTTGCAATTCTTTTAACACTTTCGCCCGGGCATGATGCAGCATTGCGTCATCCATTTACTGTCGGTAATGCCGGGGATGATGCAGCATTGCATAATCCACTTTAAATAATCGCCAAAAATCAGGTTTTTATCCGCTTTTTTGGGACTGATTTTAAAATGCGCGCCGATGTCTTCCCATTTTCTTCGTTGAGCCTCGTGGCCCTCAGGCGGCTTGGCACACGCCGTGGGCCCATTGTTTTAGCTCCACTGTTGTGACCAATGTTGCCTCCCCTCGCATCTCAAACGTGTGAACATTTCGGCTATTTTCCGTGGCTATATTTCTTACTGCGGCTTTAGAAACTATCTACGCTTACTCCACGATGGATAGTGATCATGAACAAGGCCCTTCCAGGAAGAAAATTGCGAAAGAAAGGCTTGAAAAGGGCGGGAATTGGGAGTGTAGCTGGAAGGTGTCTGAGCGCTCACTTGCGGCTAACGCGTGGCCCGTCTTCAACTCGTCGGCGGTTGGAGCGTGACCAGGTTTTTTATTTTATATGCTAATGTTCCTCTAGAGAATTCTATTGCGGACCCATTGAGACCAAAATGAAAGACCTAGGACGAAAATTGAGGTGACCAGAGTGAAAATAGTGAAAACATTTTATCGCGTTTGCGCGCTCCTGGGTAACTCGTTCGCACTTTCTCTGTTTGCTGCGGGTAATTAGCCTGGCTTTTGGAGTTTATATGCATTTAGTGCTGTAGAGAATTCTATTGCGAACACAATGATAAAAAATTTAATCTCGTAGGACGAGAATTAAGGTGACAAAGTTGAAGAGAGTATACACTTTTCAGAATTTACGCGCGCTCCCGTGACACCCTGGGTCCCATATCGCACAGTTGAGGGGTGGCGCGCGGGGTACGCCAAAGTGTTAACTATGTTGTGACGCAATCGACTAAGGCGCATCTAGGATCATCCCGGACGTAGGATCGAACCCTCCTGACAGCCCTTTTGGATTTGTCCGTGGATATTGAACTTGGTAGATCGAAAGAATGAATTAGTTTTAAAAATTAACTGTTAAACCCTTTAAACTGTCATTAAACAAAAAATAGAACAGAGAGATGATGGAATGAATATGGTTTTCAAGAAGTTTTTATGAGATTGGTGAAAATAATTAATTCATAGGAAGGAACTGCTTATAAATGAGAGTAAAATAAACTGCAGAGGGCCTGTTGACCCATATGACTCAAAATTACTAAAGTAAGATATAAGCTAATCAGATTAGCTTATGAACCAAATCAAGTTGCAAGGACTGTATTTAAAAAAAAGTAAAAAATGCAATAATGATAAGAGCATGTTAAGGAAGTGTTAGGCACTGATGAAGATGATGACAGTAGATACATTGGCTGATCCATCAAGCCCGGGATCCTCATGTAAATTTTTGCACCAAAAGAATTTTTAGTAGATTCTGAACACTGTATATTTTAAAGTTGCAAAGTGTACCAATTGTTACTTTAATGTGTACATGTGTTTGCTATACTGTATAACTTAGCAGTCACTGAAGGTTGTTAGCAATGCCAATGCGATTGTACTTAATAGGAAGATCAAAATGATGTTTTTATTTTACTTTGATACTAATAACCATTAAAATTAAATACAAAATACTGATGTGCAGTATATGCACCAAAAT